TCACCCTCATGGTGTACGATCGCTACGTGGCCATCCGTGAGCCTCTGCGCTACTTGGCTGCCATGTCCCATGGGGTCCGTGTCCAGCTGGTGGTGGGCTCCTATGCTGCCGGGAGCCTGAACGCCCTCATGCGCGCCAGCGCTCTCCTCCGGCTTTCTTTCTGTGGCCCAAACCTTGTCAATAATGTCTACTGTGAGATCCCACCACTTCTGCTACTCTCGTGCTCCAACACCCAGCTCAACGGGATGGTGACGGCCGCGTGCGTTGGCTTCATCATAACAACCTCAGTCTTGGCCATCGTTGTCTCCTATGCCTGCATCCTGCTCACCATCTGGAGCATCTGCTCTGCGGAGGGCAGGCACAAAGCCTCCTCCACCTGCACCTCCCACCTCATGGCTGTTGCCCTCTTCTATGGCTCTGCGGCTTTCTTGTATTTCCATCCCTTTTCCAGACACGCGGAAGATCAAGGGAAAACAGCCTCCGTCTTCTACACCATGGTGACCCCCATGCTCAACCCTTTCATCTACAGCCTGAGGAACAAGGAGGTGAGGAGCACCCTCAGAAGAGCTACGAACAAGCTCCTCTCCTGCAAGTATTCCCACAGGTCCCACTCTAACCAAGCCGAAGAAGATATCACCTGCCACAGTGGAGTCAGCAGAAGAAATAGGGCCGACACCTGACAGAAGAAGGGCACCGTACATTTCTACACATCTGGTGAGATGTACATGCTTTACCTCGTGCTGAACACCGCAGAGTTCGAATTACGGATTAATTCCATGTTGGGGTCCCTTGAAAAATAAATTACCGGTAATTACAATGTCTGAAAGAAGGAAAGAATGCAGGAAAGACAGACAATCCTAAAAACACGTCCATTGTCAGTGAAACTTTTGAAGTAAATGAATTTATAAGCAGTGCTAGAACATGCACAGTTGATACCTTTTACCAAAGAGGATTTACTCAATGTTACAACGATATTAAATTCTGTGGCCTGAAAGAGGTGGCTCAGAGCAGAAGGGGACAAGCTAAATAAAAACTACGTTTTGGAGAGGGACAATGTCTTTCATAACTTTGTTTTCAAATTTTCTGAGTAGTTGCCTAAGGTTTTGCTTCAGTACAATAAACCTGATTTACTATTTTCTCTGGTTTGTCCAAGGAGAGTCTCTATGGGGAATAGCACATCCCCATGCTTCATATATATTGCACGCAGGCCACCCGCGCTGGGCATCTTGCTTTCCTGGATGGGTCTTCCCCATGGAAAGCTGCCAGCCTGGAGCCACCATGCTGACATGCTCCTTTGCCTAGGAGCAGGGTGGAGTTTTATCCCCCGTGACAAGGAGTCACTCAGCTTGGCCAGGAACAGCCTTTCAAGACATTGTCTGAGCAGTCTTGGCTTTTCCCAGGATGTCATCTGATGTTGACAACACAGAAAGCCTCCATGCTTCTGGCCATATGTTGTATTCAGACGTGTCTGACTCGTTTGATGGTTCCAAGACTCTCAACGTTGGCCAAAACTCCCCCCCAGCTCCTCTCCTACTTATGTCTCTCCATTCAGGCAAAGTTTATTTTCCACCCCAGCCGCAGCTTATTAATAATTTCTGCTTCCAGGTTTCAGGGGTTGAGTCATCTCGGTCCAGGAGTCATCCTATCTAATTGTAGGCTTTCACATCCGAATTAGTCACCATCAGTTCCCCTTCTGGAGGCAGCTGTGCATTTGGGGGCTTTGATTCATCTGATCTATTTTAAACACCCACATCAGGGTGAGATGACTTTTCCTGGAAAAAATGCGTGGTTTTCTCCGCTTGCTGCTTGGCAGCGAAGGGTGACGGGCTGACACGGCTACGTGGCAAATGTGGATTTTTGTACAGAGCAGTCACACTCAGGGCATAGTCTGAAGAGTTAATCTAAGCATAAATTAACTACATTTAAATAAATTAACTAATTCATAAATTAATTAAATTAAGCATATCCTATTCCAGGAGGGGAAAGCTTCAGCTCACCATGCTGGTGTTTTGGAGTCCTTCAAAAACCCCACTCAAAAGCGAGAGGGTGAAACTAGCCTTTAACCACTGATTTATAATTCAGCTGAGCATGGATGCTCAGCACCCACAAAACGCTTTCCGGAAGGAACAGAAAGGCAAAATGGATGACGGTATTGTCAGAGCTATGCTTTCGCTTTGACATAAAGATCACTGATACCAGATATTAAATCTGAAGAAAGGTTTATATTTCCCATGGATGGGTAGGAAATAATTCCCTAGATCTGGTTACAGATACTAGCATCATTTTGTTCTTTCAAGAGCAATTAAAGAGAAACTTTTCTCCGTAAACCCGGCTGTGACTCTCGCAGATGCCTGGATCCAACTCTCTGGCTTTTTAAACAACAGGATAGCCCAGATAATTGTTAAATAGTGTTGGCCAGCAGGAGTAGGGAAGTGATCGTGCCCTGTACTCGGCACTGGTGCAGCCGCACCTCGAATACTGTGTTCAGTTTTGGGCCCCTCACTACAAGAAGGATGTTGAGATGTTGGAACGTGTCCAGAGAAGGGCAACGAGGCTGGTGAGGGGTCTGGAGAACAAGTCTGATGAGGAGCGGCTGAGGGAGCTGGGGTTGTTTAGCCTGGAGAAAAGGAGGCTGAGGGGAGACCTCATCGCTCTCTACAACCACCTGAAAGGAGGCTGTAGCGAGGTGGGTGTTGGTCTCTTCTCCCAAGTAACTGGCGAAAGGACGAGAGGAAATGGCCTCAAGTTGCGCCAGGGGAGGTTTAGATTGGATGTAAGGAAAAATTTCTTTACTGAAAGAGTGGTTAAACATTGGACCAGGCTGCCCAGGGCAGTGGTTGAGTCACCATCCCTGGAAGTATTGAAAAGGCGGGTAGATGAGGCGCTTAGGGACATGGTTTAGTGGGCATGGTGGTGTTGGGTTGATGGTTGGACTCGATGATCTTGGAGGTCTCTTCCAACCTTAATGATTCTATGATTCTATGATTCTAAAACAAATTGCAGCGGAAGAGTTCCTGAATAGTTTTCCCTTCCTCCCCAATAGCACGTGCAACACTTCTCCATATCCTGAGCTATCTCCTAATCCTCGAATCTCTATTTCTTACACCAGTTCTTTTTAATTTTCTGTGATTCCAAGAGATAAATTATATATTCCAAGAGATAAATTTTTATATATATATAAAATTCTTCATACACATATAAAGAAGTGGGAAAAACCACTCAAGCTTACATTTAATTGTGTTTATTTGTCAGTGCACATCTCCTCCTTGAGGAGCTGTTTCCAAAGTCATCCATTCCCAAGAGAAATTTCCTGCACGACACGCCCGGGAGGGCAGCGGCAAAACCCTTGGTCTTTTAATGGCAGAGTCCCATAAACAGCGGCTTTTCTCGGTCAAGTATTGACGCCCTTCGTGACTGGCAAATCATTCTTGCTTTTAACACCAACGCTGGGAGAAATTGGGGCTTATTTCTCCCATAAAATTTTGGTCTAGGAGATAACAAGCCTCTGATAAACCAAAAAGGGCCCCGCGACGTGAGCAGACGGGTGACTTTTAGCCTAAATAACGCTACAAAGAGTTGACCTGTTGCAAGGGGAGGACTTTAGGCAGCAGCCTGTTTTCACGCAGAATAGTCACCCAAGGTCAGGACATCTCATGCGAAACCCAGGCATTTATAAGTTGCTTTTCCAAATTTAAGGCAGCCACTAGCTCAGGCTGAGTAAAGCCAACACATAGGCACTGCCAGAGGTCAGCAGCCCCTCAGTCTCAGCTGATTATTTTAATCGAGATTACTGGGATTCATAATTGTTGTCCAGCGGCTGGAGAGGGCAGCAGCTCGGACAAGCTGATGAAGTGGCTCTGCCAAACATCGGTGGTCTGAGGCGTGTTATCACGCTGGCAAAAAAACCTTGCTGTCCTCGAGTTCTGCTTTGTCTCAGACCTCCTACACGAAGCAGATGGGAGGACTGGCGGTGCCTGGTCTACTGTTTGCTGTGCTATGAAGACCACGGCATCGAAGCACTACCTGGGTTATCTGGCAAACTTCAAACTGTTTGAGAGGGGTGTGAAAGTTTCTGCAACTGATTTAATGCTGGAACGAAATATAAAAATTTGTTGGATTCAAGGGAGCCTCACGTACAAGTCAAGGTAGGACACGTGCGTTGAACTTTCCTCACGCAGAAGGGTCCTTTCCGATGATATAATTTGGTATCTTGTTTAACAGTTCAAAAACCCTCAGTGGGCACTTTCTGTCACTATTCCTAACTTCTGTTTTAAGAAGACATGAGCTTGATTTTATATATATATTTTTTTTTAAAAACTGCATTATCAGCATCTTCCACCCCCGAGTTCATAACGGCACTGTAGCATTGTTGGGGTTTCCACCGGAACCAACCTTTTACAGTTCTTTCCACTGTCTTTCTCAATTCAGAGGCATCACAAGAATGATGTGGATATCACCATATTTAAAGGGGGGTTAATATTTACACTAAATCTCCTGTTTCAAACTTAATTTCAGAGTTTCATAGGAAGGAAGGGAAGAAATTAGAGTTTTATTCTAACTTGTTCTGACTCTCCTAAAGGAAATTATTTGAAAAATATCTTGATCTCTCACTAGTGCTTTCTCTCTTTCGATCTTCTGAAACGAGGGTTGGTTGTTGTTGGTTTGGTTTGGGTTTTTTTAAGTGCAGGCTGATTTCTAATGTCAGAATAAATTGCTGCAGTAGAAAAAGCTTTCCGATTTGCAAAGTGACTTTATCAAACCAAATCAGTAGTGACTAGACCAGAATCAAACCATTAGAAATAAATTCAATCATGCACTTCGTTTACTTTAAAATGTATTTTGAGACAAACACTGAAAATGTTGTTCAACAGTTCCTGCCTCTGAAATTTGTATTTCCTGATAAAAATAAATGCATCTTTTACTTTTGTGAGGAAAACAGGAATATGCTGACTCTGTGTTTCTCTGCATCTCTGCTTTCCCACAGCAACTGTGTTACGATGATGGTCAAAAGAAATCACACCCCCAGTGCTGAATTTGTTCTCTCGGGGTTCTCAGGGCAGGGGGATGGCCAGGCTGTCCTCTTCATGGTCTTCTTGGTGATCTACGTGATCCCTCTGCTGGGGAATCTGGGGATGCTCCTGTTAATCAGGCTTCATGCCCAGCTTCACACGCCCATGACTTCTTCCTGAGCAGCCTGTCCTTCCTAGACGTCTGCTATTCCTCCTCAATCACTCCCAGACTGCTCTCGGATCTCCTAGCAGAAAGGAAGGTCATTTCTTACTCTGCGTGCCTCGCACAATTTTATTTCTATGCCGTCTTTGCCACCGCCGAGTGCTACCTCTTGGCTGTGATGGCGTACGACCGCTACGTGGCCTTCTGCAGCCCACTGCTCTATGCCATCTCCACATCCAACAGAGTTTGTGCGCTGCTGGTAGCTGGCTCGTACCTCGCGGTGGATCGTGAATGCCACTATCCATACGGGGTTTGCACTTCGGCTGTCCTTCTGTGGTCCCAACATCATCAACCACTTTTACTGTGAGGGGCCCCCGCTTTACGCCATCTCTTGCACGGACCCCACCGTCAATGAGATTATGATGTTCGTTGTGGTTGGCTTCAACCTGTTTGTCACCAACCTGACCACCCTCATCTCTTACACCTACATCCTGGCCACCATCCTGAGGACGCGCTCGGCCGCGGGCAAACACAAAGCCTTCTCCACGTGCGTGTCCTGCCTGACCGCTGTGACCCTCTTCTACGGATCTGCTGCGTCCATGTACTCATGACCCAGCTCCAGGCACCCCCAGGACCTCGACAAAGTGGCATCTCTGTTTTACACTGTGGTGACCCCCATGCTGAACCCCCTCATCTACAGCCTGAGGAACAAGGAGGTGAAGAATGTGCTGGGGAGAGTGATGGAGAGGAAACGTTCACCTGAAAAATAGTTTTCCCTGGTGTGTCAGAGGAATTGAGAGGTCTTCTCAGAAATGTCTGCAGTTTCTATTTCTGTACTGCTATGGTATAAAAGAAGCAGTGCTCTCCTGTGAGCTACTGGGGACAAATGCGTTGGGAAACCTTTGCCTTGTTCCTAAACTCTGGGTCATTAACTCCTCTTGGATTAGGCCGTTCACTGACCTGTCTCGGATGCTTTAGCTACTTTTATTTGTGGTTACAGCCGGATAGTATTTTAATTTCAAGAATTTAAGCCCTTCTGTCCCTTTGTAGTTTGAGAATGCATTACCGCTGTTGTCTTGAGCAACGACAACAAATAACACCTATTGCTTTCAGCATGACAATGATGACCAGAGCTCTCTTCATATCAAATAATGGGCACATTTCTGGTGAACACCAGACTCGGGTAATTTAGTGCTCCCAGTACTAGCAATAGACACTGGGCTTCATGACAACAATTCACTGCAACAAGGCTCGTCAGGCCTTTTCTGCAACTTATTTTAGCTCAACTGCAGCTGTATTTTCAAATTTATTTGAGAAACTTCTGCAGCGCCTGCAACTTGCTCAAGGACCAGAGAGCTGTCATCTGGCATCTCCTATGAGTAATGGTAAAATTAGTCAGGTACCTGCTCCCTATCCTGGCATTTCGATCTTGTTTTGGTTATATTATTATTAACTGCTTTTGCTTAGTTTTGAGCAATTGTGTGATTTCCCCTCTAAAATAAATCATGAGGTACAGGGGAACGATTAACAAACTTTAGCAACTGTAGTGTAGCTAACCCCATAGACCAATAGGAGAGAAAAGAGTGCTGACCAGGAACAAATACGGGGTAGAAACATTTAGAAGTGATCCTGAGCAGACCCAAGACTGGCATGGAAGAAGCTCCCACCACAACCAGTGCTCCCACCAAGGACAACACCATACCTCCTCAGCAAGGAGCTCAGGGTCCTGCTGGGTCACTGCATCATCCCACCGAGGAAGAAGGACCTCAGTCTGCAGGTGGGAATTTAACCCTCAGGGATGAGGGGCAGGTACTTTAATCAGAGAAACCTTGAGGAGCATTGCTCTCCATCCATCCAGGCCCACACCGTTGTCCTTAATATAGTCACATGCCAACACACTGACCTTCCAACTCATCGGCTTTGGGGCCTGGACTAGCTCTGAGAAGCAAGGCAGCTGTAGAAGTGCACTTTGTCGTTAACAAGGAAGAAAGTTTCTTTCTTGTTAGCCCTCTCTAATTAGTCTCTCATGCTTGTTAAAAAGAATGAGGTAAGTTGACTACAAGCCCACTGAGAAGCTTTCACGGTGATTAGGAAACTTTCTTGGTTAAACCCCAGAAGGTCTTGTTAAGCTGATGACTCCTGGAAGGGTGGTTGGTCCCCAAGGACCACTTCTTGCTCTGGGAAGGGGAGCAGCATCACTTGTGATGGAAATAGCTGTAACCACATGTATGGCGAGAGCCTGGAGCTCAGACCTGCGGGAGGGCCCGCTGGAGGGCTTTCTGTGCCGGTATAAGCCGGTCATACACTCTCATTAAAGAAAGAGACATCCTTGTCTTCATGACGTGTGCAGATAAGGTGGTTCCCTTGGTTCTCACTAATGGGGTGATTTGTCCCTGCCTGCTTTTGACCCCCTAGCAGAGGGAGCCGGGGAAGCTCGTTGCATTTCTCCTCACCTTTGGACCTCCTCGAAGACACCTCACACCTTGAATTTCTTGTCATTAATTACATTGGGATAGATTTGCTTTTGTCTTTTGTAATTCTTAAACTGCGAGGCAAGTTGAAGTACGCTACATACATCCTCCATGTCTGACTGATTTTCATAAACGTGATTTTCCTACCATTACGAATTTGGGACTGGAGAATAAGCACAGGAATGGGCTCACCTGGCTTTCAGTATCTGAAAATTCATTGTCGAATCATGAGATAATCAGCCAGGTCCCTTCTGAAATATGTGGGAATAAGAGAATGTTCTCTCACATCCTAGGACAGATGGTTAAAATGGATGTGGTGCCACAGGAGCAGGTCTGAACATCAAAAGGACCGACCTGCTGTCTATGGTATACGCATTTCAGAATAGTTTCCTCTGGATTAAATTTATTCTGGTCCGGGGATCTGAACACCTACTGGAGATGGAAGTGCATTAGGTGCCCCCCTCAAGCCCATTTTCAGTTTGTTTTCACCCAAAAGGAACCCAGGTTATGCAGCCTGACCCCAGCCTGCGATGCGAACGAGAACACGGTGAGGGGAGAAAGCTGGGAGATCTTCAAACTTAAACTCTTTAAACTGCACTCTTCGTCTGAACAAAAGCTAGAAAAATAGAAACATACCTTTATTGACCACAAATGGAGACAAGAAACTGTGACTTAATCACTCAACTTTTATTTATCTAAATTTGAAGGAGATGAAGCTATTTCGGTCCACCTAATCCCTCCTCCCACCAGTCTTAATAATAATAATAATAATAATAATAGCAGCTTTATTGTTGGGTTTTTTTTTAGTCCAACTTTCAGTTGGACTAAAACTTTATAAAGGAAAAAAAGATACTTTAATAACTAAGAAACTGCTTCACCTTTTTTGCACGGTTTCCTGCAGGTGGTGCTGGAAACTTTTGCAGGAAAGGAGCGGGATGCAGTGAAATTCCTCAGGCCGGGTCCGGGTTTCGTCACCCCCATGTAGAAATCCGGTGCCATTTGCTCTGTCCTGAGGTGCCAAGGGCATTGGCACGCACTTGACACGTATGCCATGCAACCTTCAGAAGAGTTGGGCCATTCTGGAGTGACATAGGGACATGGTTTAGTGGGCATGGTGTTGTCGGGTTGACGGTTGGACTCGATGATCTTGGAGGTCTCTTCCAACCTTAATGATTCTATGATTCTATGATTCTATGACATCTGAAAGTTCAGAGGGAGACCCGGGGGCATCTCCAGGGTGTTAATAGCCTACGTTCAGGCAACTGAACTCAATCCCAGATGCCTCTGCGCTTCTTGACATTGGTTCTTCCAATCTGACCCACCCTATCCACACCGGTGTGGACGTTTCACTGGGAAAATAGTCTGGGACTATGAAAAGTGTTTATGATGTGGTGCAATACAGCGTCGTGAAGAAATAACTGGGACAGCTCAGGAGCAGAGGCATGTTATGTCATGACACATGGAGCTCCACCTGGGCTACTGGTTTGGGCATAAGTAAGGAATATTTAATCCAGATAAAGCACAGGGTGAAGAAGATGATGTACAACATCAGCCACTGCTAAGATCCCATTTTATAGCAGATATAAATTATATATGGGGAAAGGTGGGAAGGAGAGGAGGTCTGTCTGCACAGTGACGTCTCCTGTCCATCAGGAAGCGCTTCAGGATCAGAAGAGCTCATGCTCCTGCGTTGCATCCTCCTGCACCTATTGCAAAAAGCAACAAATCAAAACACAAGCAAGAAAAGATAGTTACACTTCTTGCTGTATGCATCTTTGGGGACGTAACCCCTAGTTTTCTTCTGTTAAGAAGCTGCCTGTCTCTTCACCAGTCTCTTCAGTGCCTCCTTCACCTCCTGCTTCCTCAGGCTGTAGATGAGGGGGCTCAGCATGGGGATCATTACTGTGTAAAACACAGAGACCACCTTGTCCCTCCCCAGAATGTAGGTGGAGCTGGGCCGGGTGTAAATGAAGAGGATGGAGCCATAGTAGAGGGTGACGGCGGTGAGGTGGGTGGCACAGGTGGAGAAGGCTTTGCTCTGCCCCCTTGGCCAAGCCACCGGAGACGAAGAACTGAGCAGCACACCCAGGGTGGCCATAGACTTGGTATTGGCCTGGAATTGGAGGCTTAAAAAGGCGGAGGAATACCAGAGATGCGGGAAGGACAAGTTCCCAATGAAGAAGTACATTGGGGTATGGAGCCATGAGCTACGGCATATCACCATGATGAGGGTGATGTTGCTCACGAGGGTGGTGACGTAGGCTAAGGTGAACACCATGAATAAGAGAAGCTGCAGCTTCGGGTCAGTGGTGAACCGCAGGAGGATGAAGCTGGTGTCTGACCTGTGGTTCCTCTCCTCCACGGACAGGGGAAAGGGACTGACCTGGAGACGTGGATCATGGCGGCTATTTGATATTTGCAGTGTGGGGTCTGGGGACACCGGCTAAGAGAAGGGCTTCCACGTTGCTGTCATTGCTCTCTGTACCAAAACGCAGCTCCACACACACACGCACACAAAAGAAAAAAGCAGAGCAAATTTTGTACTGAGAAGGGCTGCGCTGTTACGATTTTGGCTGTGCTATTTTATGTCAAATAAAGGTTTGGCTTTTGCATCACTTTGCAAGCTGCATTCGCCGTGAACCTGCGTGCATACACACACTGTGCGTGGTGCTCTGCGTATGGGTATGCACACAAGCAGTTTCTACATGTTGCATATAATGCATTAGATTCTTAATAAAATATATACGGGAAACAGGATATGAAAATATGGGTGGGTACATACATGTCCGTATGTAAACATGCATCTCTGTAGGTATTTGCTGACTGTGCGTTCCCCGGCTGTTATGAATGTGAAATCTCAGTCTCAGTGTTGCATTAAATTACTCGTACGTTGAGACTCCTTAATTTGAAGTACGTATGGCGGAACTGGAGACACCCATTGAAGACAAACGCATGTAGGTTCGCCGTCTGGTACGAACCAACACAGTTTCATTAGATTCGTTTTCATGAGTCATACCAGTAAAAGCACCGTCTCGTTAAGTTTTCTGTTTTGCATGAGCAAACATTAAACGGTTGGATGTACGCCCTAAAAGCCAAAACTACAAATGTGTGTATCTGGGAAGACCTCTATTTTTAGGCACATTACTGAAAGCAGCAGTCATTCAGTGTGCGCGTGTGTTTGTACACCTGAGTGCAGGCACGCTTGCATCTACAGAAGTTGGAATTCATCTCACCTGACATTGTCAGACTAAAAACTAATTATTTAAGCTCTTTCGTGGCCAGTGAAAGCGATAGGCTCT